TTACAATCTATGTATGAGTTCATGTCTTGATGGAGTGTAAATCATTGGATGTGTGTTGATGTTTTGAAGCATGGAATGCTACATCATGAGAATGTTCTTCTTTTCTAAAACAACATTTCAAACTTTTGATCCATAGTTGTAACCTACATATCAGTTTCTGTGTTGATGAGCTTTTTAGTTCTTTTTGAGTCTAGAATCCATATGTTATATGTTTAGAGTTTGTGTATGGTGATCTCATGGGATGAATCTGTTTAGTTTAAGTCATGACTTTAAAAATGCATTCTCAAACCCTCATTTGCATTTCCTATCGTGTTTTACTATATGCATATTATTTTGAAAAATAGATGTTACTATCATGTTCCTTATCAAAAAAACAAGTAAGTTAGAGTCAAATTTCATTAAATTTGATGATGTTTTGTTTAAGTTTGAGTTGAAACCGTTTCATGTTGCTTGTCTTGGATTTGCCTTAAGTCTGGCCCAAAATGCTTGACTTGTTAGTTTAAGTATTAATGGGGTGGCTTGATACACTGGATGTATCGCCACCCCAGTGGTTATGCCTTCTGTTTCATGTATCTTGCCATTGTCATTGTCTTCTGTTAGATCCTCAGCGAGGACAACCTTTTTTTAATATTTTACGTTTTTTTCATGTTTTATTTATTTTACTTCACCTTTTCCAAATGATAATCACACGCGCGTGTTAGATTGATTGACAAAGTTTTGGACTTGTAATCACAAGGTTGTGAGTCCAAGTCTTGGTGAAGGCACTCCTTTTTTTTTTTAATTACTAAAATCTTTGTTTTTTCTTTAAAACTTCAAAGTAACACAACTTTATCAATTTTTATCATTTTTGAATTGTTCTTTTTGCTAATGTCTTGTATTGATGTTTGACTCATGGGACTTTGTTTTAAAGCATATATCCAAATTAGATTAATAAATTGAATGACTTCCCCAATAAAAATATCTTATGTCTTTGAGTTTTCAAAATGTGTATAAGACTCGAATGAAATATTAAGTTTGTCTCTTTTTTAAAAAATAAAACATGTAAAAAGAGTGAACCTCATAATTATACATAAGAAGTAGATGCATTTTAAATGAACAAATATAATTACATTAAATAAAATCTGAAAAGAAGTGAACCTTGACATGAGTTAAATGAGTAAATACAATACATTGTTATAATAAGTCTATTTTATTTCCCCAAGCACACTATTACACTTTTTCAATTTTTCAAATTTAAATTCTTAAAATGATGCGATATAGAGAGAAAATTGAAATAAACAAAATTATTTTAGAAAATTAAAAAATTGAACAGAACTATTTTAATTATATTAAAAATCGATAGAATATGTGGTATTTATTTAAAACTAAAAATAAAATATGACGGGCCTTGGCATTGTACCTCGATTTTTTGTTGGGTGAAGTAGACATTTTGTCATATAATATATTATTTGTAGTTGTGAGCCGAACAATTACAAAGTTAATATAAATTAAATCAACAATTTCAATGTCATTATCATAATAAATATATGTTCCATTATATCCACCTGGTTTATAAGATATTAAAAATTTAATGAACAAATTATTTAACATACCGTTATGTAATTTTTTTTGTTGTAAATATTTGAGTTAGGACTTTATGATAAGGTATATATCCAAATTAGATTACTAAACTTAATGACTTCCCCCCAAAAAAAAAAATATCTTATGTGTTAAAGTTATAAAAATGTGTATAAGACTTAATCAAACATTAATTTTACCGTTTAAACAATATATATAACATATAAAAAGAGTGAACCTCATAATTATACATAAGAAGTTGGTATATATTAAATGAATAAATACAATTACATTGATAATACAATTTTTTCTAAAATAAAATCTAAAAAGAAGTTAACCTTGACATGAGTTAAATGAGTAAATCCAATGACAATTGTATAACAAATCCATTTTATTTTCCCACACACACTATTACAAGTTTTCAAACTTATAAAATTAACCTCTTAAAATGATATGATTTAGGGAGAAAATTGAAATAAACAGAAATATTTTAGAAAATTAAAAAATTGAATTGGATCATGTTAACTATTTTAGAAATCTAGAGCATATGTGATATTTATTTATAATTAAAAATACATCATGATGTTATTTGACATTATACCTCAAATTTTTGTTGGGTGAAGAAGAAATTTTGTCATATAATCACTACAAGAAAAACGATGGATTGCGACAACTATTTTGGCAGGTTACGACGGTTAAAACCACTACCAATTACATTCTACGACGGTTGTAGTACCGTCGCAGAAACGTGTGTCCCCAGGCTGTTTAGCGACGGTTGAAAAAACCATCACACACAACCGTCGTTATATTTCACGACGGGCTTGAACTGGCCTAAACTGGAGATAGCGACGGTTAAAGACCATCGTTACTAGCCTTTTGATTTTTATTTTCATTGTTGATTGTGACGGTTTAAAACTGTCGTGAACTCTATTTCACGACTGGTTGGAACTGACATAAATTGGAAATGACAACAGTTAAATACTGTCGTGAATATCCTTTTGATTTTTGTTACCATTGTTAATTGCGAAGGTTTAAAACTGTCGTGAATGTGATATCTTGACGGTTCATTATTAATTTTTATATATTGTATTATATTGTTTTATAACATATTCTTTTATTTAAATTATTATCTACTAAAATAGTTATATTATTTTTTCTTTAAATTATTTATACAATAATATTTTTATTTATAGTTTTTTTTTAATTTTTTTCTATCGCTTTTTAGCGTAGTAAAATTAATTCCAAAATTTAATATCAAATAAACATTATAATATCGAAAAAACGTGAGTTTCATAATCATGTAAAATGAAAGTTCCATAATCATGTCATGTAATACAAAAACCCGAAAACATATCAAATCATAATCGTATAACAATAAGTATCATTGTGCCAAAAATGAATAAGGTTCATAATCTAGAAAGTATGTCATTATGGAATTCGGTAGCTAGACTCAGATGAACGTCTACCATCAGTAGGTGATTCCAATCCCTGAAAAAAATTGTATTAAAATAATATTCTTTAAAATAATACTCCGAAGCTTTAACTTTAAATTCATCAAAATAATTTACCTGTTTTCGACTAAAATTTTGCATTTGCATTAAGACTTCAATTTCTTCTTTCATAGCATTGTCTCTTTTCTTTAAGAATGTGATTGTCTCCATTAATTCATCAATTTTTGAATTTTTTTCTTTAAGTGCAATGATTTATTGCTGCATTTCCTTTATTTTTTCATTTTCTGCAGAAGAAGATGTCGATCTTGTAGATCTATTAATATGAGATGGCGTAACTCCAAGTCCCATACTACGAACATATCCATGTTGTTCTTTTCCAAATACTTTCAAAAATGCTTCATTTTCAGACACAGCATCTTTAATTGCTGCTTGTAACTTTTCCTGCACATGAAAAAGAGTAAATTGAGCAAGCAAACTTAACTTAACTTTTTAATCTATCTAATAAAAAAATTTCTCTGTCTTAAGGGAAAACAAACAATGATTATAAGAAAAAACTGATAAATTTGTATTGATGAAAAAGATGTTTAGTAATTTAAAACTTGGTTTAGCTAGTTAATCTATTTGTGATGGTAAATTTCAATTCCAACAAGTTTTATTGGCTGCTCGAATTATTTAAAATTTCAATTCCAGTATGCATTTGTGATGGTAAATTTCAATTCCAATAACATATTTGATTATGTAAAATTTGTATACATGTTAAACTTTCATCTTACTGCTTGTATTTATTTAAAATTTGAATTGCAGTATTTGTAAAAGTTATGCTTTAGTGAAAATATATGTTACCAACTATTCTCATCTAAGGCACACAAGTATGTAACTAGTAGAATTATATGTTTTCACATCATATATAAAATGTAATGTTGTCTTAATTTTATATTTTATTTCTATTTGTCTGAATAATTAGTTGACTTTATAAAGAGCACAATCTATTGTTACAAGACTAATTAATTAACTCAAATAATCACAATTCTCAATCTAATTTAATCAGTTTTCAGACACATTCTCCCCACCTTTAAGAGATGCCAAAAGGTTTGATTTTTTCTCATACCTTAAGGAGACTAACAAATATTTAAAAAGAATTAACTTGTACTTACATTATTATTGTATGCATCTTCACTGACAAAAGACCCGTGAGACTTTTTATGAGAAACTGCATACATTTCTCCTCTACTGTATGTTCGTCCATCTCTCGATTCCTACAAATAAGAAAATATATTAATTATTTTTACCATCAGTAATACATTCAACTCTATATAAATTTAGACATACCAACTCATGTTTCTTCCTTGCAAGCGACTTAGATCCGAGTGTATGTGGAGTCTTCAATTTTGCTCTATTTTGGGCATTTTTTTGAGCTATTCTCTACATAGTTAACAATTAAAAACATGCGTTATAGATAGGGATAACATACAAACCAGATAAATCTAACAAATAAAAGCACTAATATTACCTGTGTTTTTTCTTTCCGCCTATATTGAACAAAAACAGCCTAATCATTTTCCAGAATGCCTCTGCATATTGGATAATTTTGAAGATTTTCCTCCAAAGTGAGATCCCATCTATAAAATTGGCGAAACAATTGATGCCGGCCATTCTTCCATTTCTTTGCAGCAGAAGCAAGTATGAATTCTTTGGCACGCCCATCATCAACAAGAAAGTGGAGCTAACCATAAAAAAAAATTAGTTAACAAAGCAAATAATAATCACCTTGAAATTAATTTAAAAAATATGTAATTGTTTATTAATGATACCTTTATCTTTGAATCATAAAACTTTGTTTTTGTATCCGCTGGAATATCCTTCCAACTCTCGAACATTATGAGAAAGTCTTTAAACATTCTAATAATTATACCCAAATACCCTGCTAACAAACCAGAAGCTGATCCTATTGCACAATGATCCTTATCAAATTCAAGTATTATCCATGTTCCATTAGACTTTGATTTTGCAACCAAGTCCCACACATAAACGTGTGTTTGAAACATAACCTTCCTCATCTATCACATAAACAAGTAAACAAATTAATGTCATAACTCAACTATGTAAAAAACAAATTAAATTATTTACAAATACTTTAACCTTAAATTACTTACTAATGACATTCACATCCCAATACACAAATTTAGCCACTTTTACAACATCTTCAGTCACATCTCCTACCACAACATCTTCAGCCTCATCTCCTACCACAACATCTTCAGCCTCATCTCCTACCACAACATCTTCATCCTCATCTTCTACCACAACATCTTTTGTAGTTTGGATTGGCAAATGGGTTATTGTAGTTTCAATTGGCAGAGGGGAAATTTTAGTTTGGATTGGCGGAAGAGTTATTGTAGTTTTGATTGGCGGAGAGATTATTGATGATTTGCACATTGTAGCTGAACGTAGGCGCTTCTTGTTTACTTCAAGCTCTCCAGGTTGTACAAACCTCGGACGACCCTTCACAGACAAAATAAAATACATCAGTGAATATCAATAAACAATTAATACAATTAATTTTTATAGACTAGTATTGAGAATTTATTACTAACCGATGATGGTTTGGAAGAAGACGAAGATGTTTTGTGAAGGGATTGAGAGAGCTTTGGAAGATTGAGAGCCTCTAGCTTTTTCTTATTCTCTGCAATCCTTTTGAGGCGAATTTCCTCATATGATGAAATCATTGTCTCACAAAAGGCTTCAACTGCAAGTATATGTATTAAAAAAACAGTACACTAATAATAGTAAACATCAAAATTTTATATTAGTGACTATAAATCTAATAAACATAACGCAAACACAATAAATTAAAAGGATAATTTATGCAATAAAATATATAGTAGTAATGTCATCTCACGCATTAATTATGGATAAACAACAAAAAACATAAAGTAATAATGTCATCTCATACATTAACTAGGGATAAAAAACAAAAACCATATGTCTCACACAATAATATTAATTATACCAACAAACTAAATTTCTTATCAATAAAAAACTATATGTTAATTATTGTTATCATTCGCTGATGAAGTTCCAATATCATCATTCGGAAAAATTTGTTCCAAATTTTGTGATGGATATGGCTCAATGAGTGACATAATTTCATCATTTCCACCCATGTCATACAAGTCTCTTGGCTTCAAATGAACAGGTATGCTCCACCCTTGTTTATTCTCATCATCCATATAAAAAACCATCTGAGCTTCTGACGCTTGAATGTACGGCTCATTATCTTCATGTTCCCCAAAATGTAGTAGTTTTGTAAAGTTTATAGAAGTAGAACCCAACTTATCTATCTTAATGCCTCTTGGGTTTGTGGTATTAGCCCATTCACATTTAAACATGGGCACGGTGAAGCCATCGTAGGAAAGCACAATAATGTCTACCAATCTTCCATAGTAAGGGACCCCTCCAAATCTCATTTGGGTATCACTATTGCTTGAATAACTTCGCGTCCCAAACAAGCCAAAAACGCCACTATTTTGAGTTTTTAAAAGATTATCTCGTTCCAATGTTCGAAATTTGAATCCATTGACATTGAACGCAGTAAATCTTTTAACTTTATCAAAAGGGCCATAAGCAAGGCTAATGAGAACATCTTTATCTAGTCCATGAATGTTGTCAAGATTGTTGCAAATCTATACACGATACAACATCTAATTAGTCTTGTTATTATTAAAATCCAATTCAATTAAAACATATATTTTTGTACAAAAACTCACACAATTGCGGAACCAGTGAGAAAATTCTCTTTGAACCTTCTTATCTATCTCAGCAGCACTTCTTTGACTGCGCTTCATTTGATTCTGAGTAATACTTCGGAATTGCCTATTTGGTTATTTGATATTAGATGTAAAAAAAGTATTAATAGTGCAAATGAAACTACTTAAATGGCATAAAACTACTTACTTTAGATAGTCGTCAACTATTGGACAATTCGTTAAAATTTGTCTATGAGCCTGCAACTTTTCAATTGGTGGTAAGGTGTAATAAGAAGATCCACCCACGGGTTTTCCAAATATAGGAAATAATTCGGCTACACGTGATCCTGTTTGGATATCACCAATAGGGTCATCATCTACACGTCCAGGTTGATTCCATCTAGTTTCAATATTTTCTAGATATCTTGAACAAAATGTAAGAATCTCTTCAAAACGGTATCCTTCTGCAATAGACCCTTCTGGTCTTGCCTTATTACATACATGTGATTTAAGTTTTCCCAAGTATCTATTATTAAACCACAATACTATCGGTTAAAAAAATATTTCTACTTTCTAAGTTAGTAACAATAAAATAAAATAACATAGTTTACCTTTCAACAGGATACATCCGTCGATAATGAACAGGACCTCCAAGTTTAACTTCTTCAACAAGGTGAACAACCAAGTGAACCATAACCATGAAGAACGAGGGAGGAAATAACATTTCCATGTGGCACAAAGTAAGGACAATTTGGTTTTGCAATTTTTCCAATTCTTCAATTTTCAATACCTTGGCACATAATTGTCTAAAGAATGAGCACAACTCAATCAAAACTGCTGAAATCTCATGAGGTAATGTGTCGCGAATGGCTAATGGTAGGAGTTGTTCCATTAATATATGACAATCATGACTCTTCATCATTCCATTCACCTTGAGATTTACTAAGTCAATGCATCTAGAAATGTTGCTCGAATAACCATCAGGCACCCTAATATTCTTTAAGGTTGTTAAAAATTTCCTTTTATCTTTACCCATTAAACTAAAGGCTGCCGGAGAAATTCTACCATTTTCATCAGGCCAAAGATCAGGTCTTATACCCATGTTTTGAAGGTCATCTCTAGCTTTAGAATTGTCTTTACTCTTTTTCCTATCATTGAATAAAGTAAATAGGACATTATCACACACATTTTTCTCAATATGCATTGGATCAAGATTATGGCGCAGAAGATTATCCTTCCAATACGGAAGTTCAAAAAATATGCTCTTTTTTTTCCATTGTTGAGGATGACCTAGTGTAGGATCACACTGTGTACTATCACCTTCTATAGGTTGTCTCTCAAATGTTCTTTTTAGCGATTTTTCTTTCACTGGCTTTTTACCAAAGATAACTTCAATATCTTTAACCTGTTCAAAAACTTCATGTCCAGATAATGTTCTCGGTGGACTCCGTATTTCTTGTTCACCATTAAAGCGGACCCTGTTCAATCTAAACTTGTGTCTCCGATCAAGGAAACGACGATGACCCATAAAACACCATTTACGGCTAGCTTTAAGACGGAGAGGTGTAGTTTGAAAGTTACACGATGGGCAAGCAAGCCCTGTGTATGTGTTCCACCCAGAAAGTGCGCCCATACCTGGAAAGTCACTAATCGTCCACATCAAATTTGCATGCAACTTGAACATCTCTTTCTTGAAAGAATCGTATGTATCCACACCATTTATCCATAACTCTTTCATCTCTTTGACTAAGGGTTGTAAGTAGACATCAATATTATTTCCTGGTGCTTCTTTTCCGGGAATTATCATTGACATTATAAATGATGTATGTTTCATGCAAACCCATGGAGGAGTGTTATATGGAATGAGAACAACTGGCCAAATACTATTGTTTGTACTCATCACACCAAAAGGATTAAAACCATCACTAGCCAATGCAAGACGCACATTTCGCGGATCTGATGAAAACCAAGTATGTGTCAAGTCAAATTTCTTCCAAGCTTCTGAATCTCTAGGATGCCTCAACATTCCATCGTTGTTAGCATCTGTTGCATGCCATCTCATATCCTCGACCGTCTTTGATGACAAAAATTATCTCTGTAATCGAGGTTTTAATGGAAATAACGAAGAACCTTGGCAAGAATTTTTTTCTTTTTCTTTTTAACAAAGACTGCTTCATTTGTTTTCCATTTTGAAGTGTTGCAATTTTTGCAAGTCTCCCTTTCTTCATCTTCTCTCCAATAAAGCATACAACCGTTTGGACATGCAGGTATCTTTACATAATTCAAACCAAGTTTTGTGATTGATTTCTTGGCTTCATAGAACGAACCTGGAATGTTTGCATATTCAAATGCATCTTTAATTAACTCTAAAACCATTGTCATTGTCCTCTCACTCAATCCACATAAACAATTTATATGGTACAACTTAACCAAAAAAGATAGTCTTGAATATCGTCTACACCCTTCATATAAAGGTTGTTCTCCTTCTCTAACCAAATCATAGTACTCCTTGGCTTCGTTTCTTTCCTAAGTTGCACTTAGCATCGCATAATCTTCTTGGCCAATCTCAAAATTTGACGCAGATGGTATTTCACTAGCATGATTCATATCAACTCCAAATGCATCGTTGATCATGTTATGAATAGGATCTTCGAAAATGATAGTATCTTTAACCATATTTTGAGTAGTACTAGGGGAGATAGTACTAGGTACAACAAAGGACTCTCCATGATGAATCTACATGGTGTATCCCTGCGGAAATGGTGACCACATTAAGTGGTCGAACTTGTCACTCCTACTCTTTGATTTTTTGAAACTGCAGTGTTTGCAAGGGCATATTACTACGTCATTTTCTTTTGCACCTTTAAATGCAAAATCAATAAATTCTTTTATCCCTTGTTAATATGCAATCGATGATTATGGCTTAGTAATCCATGACTTATCCATTTCTTCAAAAAATAGACATAGATAAATACAACAGTAAAGTTCAAAGCAAATCCTATAAAAAAAAAAAAGCAAACACTTTAAATACAAATATTTACAGCAATAGAATTAGATGCCATTAAAAGACAAAAGTTACACTCTAGCCTCATAATCACAAACTAACCAAAATAAACCCAAGACATACATTTAACAAGGATCACATATGGTAATTAACAAGGATCAAATATATTGCCTGCCTGGTTACTATGCTCACATATGGTAATTAACAAGGATCAAATGACATCATGATATTCTATTATAAATCACATCCATAGCAAAACCACTGACTTCTAAGCCTTATAATTTCTTAGCCTTTCTCTTCGGTTCTCTCTTGTCACCTACACTTTTAGCAGGTTATGTTTCAACTAGGGGATGGAACAGTGTATTTTTTATGCTCGTTTTGTCTATTTTCTTTGCTGGTTTATTCTTGATTCGAGTTGCAAGAACTGAGATACAAGAAAAACTTTCAGAAAAGTGATTTTAAATATTTCAAAAATACGGATTCTATTTTAGTATAGGCGTCCTTTATTGATTATACATTACACACATTTTTCACAGTATATAACTATTAGCTATTAAAGAAAAAGATATATTTTTGGAATGCTTCATTATCATTTGTCACTTTGTATAAAATGTTTTCATTCTTATTCGTTGATTGGAAACTCAGAAGTAGAAGAATATCTAGATGAGACAATTCAACACTTACTGTTCATGCAGTCGATTTGCTGCTTTCTTCACAATTGTTTCTATGGTTTTCACATTAGATGATTTATGGGTTGGTGACATTTATGGAACCACGCCACCAGTTTTCGTCAAACTTAGAGCTGGTTTGTGTAATGACAAGTTGTTTCTTATGCCTTACTTGTCCGTAGAGTTTTATCACAATGGAGAACTTGATAATTGGTTTCTGGATGTAGTTTTCAGCCAGAACAAGTAAGAATATGTTAAAATTTGGCATGAGTAGAAGATTCTGAAGTCCTTCCACATATATGCTTTTA